CGTCAAAATGGAGTTTTTCTGGAAAACCTTAAAGCGACTCCCTCCTGAAAGTTCAGAAATCAACAATGGGTCTGCTGGCTTTAAGATTTTGAGGAAGAATGGGCAGTCGACGATGGCAGAAGAAACAGAAACTCCGGCGAAGAATCAAGAAGAGGTACTCTGGAGAAAGTTCGAAATGGAAAAACGAGGAAAACAGGAGAGGAACCCCCTTTATATAGGGGTAATTTTCATCATTGGGCGCGAAAACCGAAACGGCGCATTTAATGCGCACGACATCCCAAGCCGGGGAAAGCGGCTCGAGGCCATGATGAAGGACTGGTGGTAGTTGGGAAACCCTTCGTCTCCTTACGACGTGTGTCCTCGGTGTCAGAAGATCGAAGGCTGGGGGGCAGTTGATGGGACTTTTTCTGAAATATCCTATGATGAAGACACGTGTCCTCGGTTTACTAAAACACTGTTGATAGGATCAAGCACCATCGGGTGTACGAATGCCCTCGCCCCCGAGGTACCGTCATGTAGGATCATACATTCAGTATATTTTACAAGCGACACGTGTCCTCGGTCAGATACGTACCTCGGTCGGCATAACTCCCTCGGTCCCCCGAGATCATCCTTTCCTCGGTGCCGAGGGGTCCCCCGTCCTGGACGCTTCCTCTATTCCAGGATAAGCTATTGGCGTGCAGGTCATTAGCCTAGGCTAGTCTGGGCTACTCATCATGACCTCGTCTTACACAAGTAATGTCAGAACGTACTGGAATGCAGAGGTCACAGCCAATAGGGGATGGACGCGTGGCATATGATGTCACATCAGAGACAAACAAACCGCATGCCGCTGCTGACACGCAACTTGGGAAAGCAAACAATTAATTGCACCATTCCCTTGATAAGACCGTATTCAATGCGGTAGGGTTCGGAAATGAAAGGCAATAAATGCTCCTGAGACAGAGTATTTATTGCATCCTCCCCGAGAGGATCACATTGTACCGTCGGCATCCCGACGACCCAGCATTGATTGCTCGGGACCCCGAGCAGTTAATTAGAGAAGACATTCCTCAACAGGATCAATGCACACGCAACCTGCACCTAATGATCACCTACTGACCACACTGACAGCAATCATGAGTTTTTAAGGTATAAATACTCCTTGCAAAAGGCAAAGCGGGTATGCAACAACAAACTCTCTACTACAATACATTTTTCTCAGTGTTTTCTCCTTCCTCTCTCTCACTCAAAGACTGACTAGACCGTCGGAGGGGATACGCCGAAAAACACTCCGGCGCCCTTCTAACTTGTTCTTCTTTGTTCCAGGAAACCCTTTCACCCTCACAGGATCGTTCTTCCTTTCCCAGGGTCTTCCGTTGCCGTTCCAGGTTACCACCGTACCTTGCAGGCTGTCCCAACCAGCGTGTTTGATCACTCAACCGGCTCACTCAAAGTTCACCAAGGGAGAGATCTGTTCCCGTTTTTTATATTGTGCAGGATCTTGCACGCACATGTATGCAAGCGGATTAGTTATTGACTTGTCGCTATGGGCAAAATTTGAGTTGGGTTTTGACCTTAAGGCTTCTTGTGAAGGCAACAGAGGAAATGGACAGCCAATCCATTCGGAAAGTAGTGTTTTGCCACTACTCTTCTCAGCCAGCCCCGTCTCTGTCAACGTATTTTATGTTTTGTCTCTCATAAGTCATAACTCTTTCTCAGTCCGACATACGCATAACAATGGACAACTATCCAAATATCAAAAGGTTGTTCCTTTCCAAAAATATTTTCGATCCAAGGGTACTTCCCACAAAATAATTCCCATAGTAATTTTTTGCTTAGTCAATTAAAAATGTTTTTCATGTCAATTATATGCCAAAAATATAGGACTTGGCTCGTAAAAGTAAAAATGTAATTATTTTGTAAAAAGTTTTATTTGAAAAAAGTCAAATTTAAAGCAGATATTAAAATCTAAAAAATGGACAAAATAGTTTCATTTCTATTTTTAAGAATTTTTTTTTCTTTTTAGGAGTTAGGCCTGCATTATTAGGGAGCTGTTAATCTCTATTGGCTTGAATGGGAACACAAATGGTGTAATTGTCTTAGTTGAATATCATTTTTGAGTCTCACTTTTCAACTGCAATGACCCACTACCACGGTGTATATACTTTTCAACTGGATCGACCCGTATGTTGTGTTCCCTTTATGTGGATGGTGCTTTCTTTTTGTGAGTGGCAAGCACTTATTTTTAACCTAGGTGCATAAGTGATGTGTTAAATGGTATGGATATTTGGCAACTATAGACCACATCCACCAGAATTCGCACACTTCCACAAATAAATGATCAAACTAAAGTATGCGTGTACATACAACCTTGCTCATGTAAAACCTTCTATAAACCTTAAACACAAATACACGTATTCGGAGAAAACTATGACACATGCACAATATACATAAATGCAAAGATTTCAATCTAGATGGGTTACAAAAACTACCACCATAGAATTAAAGGTCTACAACATTTATCCAATATTTTATGCAACAATCTGTTGATCAAAAAAAAAATTAATCCATGATCTCGAAAGAAGGAAAGAAGTGGATAAAATCAACCCATAAATTTTTGTCTCATTAAATTTTTTCCACCTGCAAACCAAAAATAACAAAATACCATGTCCAATAAAAATGATTTAAAGAACCAAAAAGAAAGTATACTCAATATGGGTCATATAACTTCTATATACCTTAACATGGAAATATAACTGCATTTAACTCTGGGGGTTCATATCCCCCAAAGCATCCATTTGAGTCTTTATAGCTTCCACATAGGACTCATTCAACGGTCCACCCAAATATACCTACATTGGTGAATGTATTAACATATAAGAATTTTACTCACAAAAGAAAACATGGAGAGGGAAAAAACACTAAAAAAATTAGTAGTCTTCTATCTTGCAGGTAAAATATCACGGGACCATATTGAATCGACAGAATGAGAATAAGTTACCAAAAAAGGATGAAAAAAGAAAATTGTACATAAAAAGTATTGCCCGTAAGTTACCAAAAGTGAAGATGCACTTCCCATTAACTTCCAAAAAAAAAATTCACCATAATACAACAAAACTTTCATCAATCAACTTTTGAATATATAAATTTTACTCTCCTCCACCTCAACGATCAAGTACATATGTCTCTTATCCCAATTATATTCATCAGTACAATTTTCATTACAATTACCGTTATGAAATTATCACTGTTTAGCACGTCTAACAAAGTAAAAAATATATATATTAGCATCGTATAATAAATTGAATACTCCTAGAAGAATAGAGCATTAGAAAAGTACATAAAAGAAGAGCTGACCAAGTAAACAAATTTCAAATTGTTTAGAACTAAGGAACAAAAATTAGAGTTTGATTAAATGAAAGGTAGACAAAAAAGAAATAACTTCATGCATTGAATAAACCACTAATGGCAAATTCGCCGGTGAATTACATCTGTATTTCACAATCTAACAATCCATTGCATCTAACATAAAGCTTGGCCCTTAGAAAATCGACCAATCAAAGAATGATGATATTATTCGGCAAAATAAATGATTAACTCATTGTGCGTAAAAAGGATTTCAAACCATGCTTCCTAAGAACACCAAACACAAAGAATAATTAAAATTGATAATATCTATCCAGAAATCCAAGCAACATTTGTGCTCTTTATCGTGCATTAAAATGAAGAACTCATTGAAAGTTCTATGAATATTTTCCTACTTGTAATGTGTACCATAAAACAAAGTTTAATAGAATTAAAAAGAGATAATCTGGGAACACAAGAAAATTCAACAACAAAAAGAGAAAAATAAGGTAAAAAGATATCAATATAAAAAATTCATGATAATGCATTAGAAAACAACCAAAATTTAAATAGCAAACCATATATAATACTTTGTCGTTGCCGTGTAGAACCAAAAACTTATGTCATAGGGGAAGAAACTTCAAGTCACTTTCAACATAGATGAAGTCCATTCTCACAATCTAGGCAACGACATAAGGCGGATATGAAAACAGATGTGACGGAACTTGCACTTGCAAGGCGGATGTGGAAAAAGAAAATCACACAGATAAAAAATAGCCACGAAGCCTTTTGTTTCGATAGATCAAGCCTTTATTAGGTATTTCGTGGAATGGTTTGCGAGCACACTTGAATGCAAGTAATTAGATTTATAATAAACCTAACATAATTCCAAGTAATTATATCAAAATAAATGGAGGTAATTATACCAGTTGAATGTCGGGGGGTCATTTTTTTTACTTTGGTTCTAACTTCTCTCTAGGATTTTCTAAGTTCATGAGTGACACACCAAGTTCTTCCCATATTCCGCCAAAATCACGTGATTTACAACCTGTTAATCCTCCACAAACATAACCCACCTATGCTTCCCTCTTCAAACAATTATCCAAACCTGTTTTTGTGGAAGAATATCTACCCAGGATTGAAAAACCTGTTGTTTTTTTTATGAGGAGGAACCTGCTTTCTACTTCACCAATGAAGAGGTTAAACAATCATGTTTATCTCTTCAATATTCGTTAATAGGCAAGTGTGCCTATGGCAGACCTAGTCTGGGCGAGATTCGTGAAGGGATAAGGTCTAAATGGGGTTTGAAAGGCGAGTTTGAGATTGATTCCATAGACCCAAAGCATGTGTTGATACGTTTTGAAAAGTAAGAAGATTATGTGAAGACATGGTTAAAGGATGCTATGATTGAAGACTACTTGTTCCGATTCTTCAAATGGTTTTCAGGCTTTATCCAAGGAATAGAGCCTTCAATTGTGCCATGTGGATCTCTTTACCTGGCCTGCCACTGAATTTTTTCAAGAAAAACTATTTGGAGGTTCTAATCAAGCCGATTGGGAAAGTATTAGAGTATGATCAGGCCACATTGACACTTTCAAGATCGGGGGTTGCTGGAGTGTGTGTGGAAGTCAATCTTTTAGCCAACAATCCATCTAGAATTTGGCTGGATATAGGTGATGAGGGTGCTAGATGGCAGCACATAGTGTATGAGAAGAGCAAACATTTCTGCAAAACGTGCAGAAAGCAGGGTCACAGCGAGGAAGAATGCCGCAGAAAGAAATCGCAAGAAAATATGGAAAGCAGAGATTTACTTCCTAAAGAATTCAAGGTAAATAAGGTTATTACATAGAAGAATAAAGGAAAGTAGGTCCAGCAAATCTTGGAAATTGATGGAAAGTAGAGCCAGCCAAATATGGAGAATAATGGGAATAAAGGAACTCAATCGCAATTAAAGATTTCAAACGGACCACAGCAGCAAAGAGGAATTTGGAAACCACAATACATGCAGAAGAAAGTTGTAGGGAAGCAAGGAAATTCGGTGAATGTCAAGGAAACTATGGCACAAATTTAGGAAACGTATAAGGAGGACACAGTGAGAGTGATGGAGGATAGAGATCACTTAGGGACAGATAATATCTCTTTGCCACAGGTTGACCCTAGAGGCCTTGGTGGTCCAGCGGAGGTAATTCTGGTAGCGAATAAGGAAGGTTTGGATATTATAGAAAAGGAAATTCGAGACACAAGAAATGAAACTTTGGGTAATGTATTAGAGGATATTCGGGAGACTAGTAAGGAAACTACAAAGATTGCAATTATGGTGATTACCAATGGTCAGCCTGAAGCTTCAGCTATGGAGAAAACCAATGACCAGTCTGATGGACCGTGTCTATTGAATAATCAAATATCCTTGGCTTCGGATTCCACATTCTTTGTAGATCATGATTATATTCGTGTTGGTAATAGCGGTACATCTTTGGATGATGACAGAGGTCTGTATTGTGCTAATGAACCACATGATAAAGGCTTCCACTCTGATGTTGAGGTTACTACTAATCTTGCATGTGTTGAAATTGACTCAATTAACTTGCAAGTGGAGGATTATAAACCATTCAGGCATTGTTACTAGATCCAAATCTAGGAAGCAATCTTTACCCCAAATTTCTTATAATTAATACAATTTCTTGGAACGTGAGGGAAGCGAATACAGAAACTTCCAGAATAAGGCTTAAGGAACTTGTTAAGTTAAACGATGTATGTTTAGTATCTCTTCTTGAACCAAAGCTTCTGCCTTCTAAATTGCAAAGTTTATGTGTTAGCTTGGGCTATTCCTCTTACATGGCAAATTCGATGGCTGAAAAACATATTTGCATTCTTTGGGACCACAGAGTGAAAGTTAATGTGATTGCAGTGCATGAGCAAACTTTGACTGTTGAGGTGTCTTTCTTGGGGTTATTGTCGTTCTTTATTAAATTTGTCTATGCAAAATGTGATCATTTACTAAGAAGACCATTATGGTCTCATTTGGCTGATATACAATTTTCTGATGCGCTTTGGATGCCAGTAGGTGACTTCAATACGATTGTTTCCTCTACAGAGAGAAAGGGTGGAGCTTCTCCCTCTCTTGCTGTGATGAATGAATTTGTGTCTTTCATAAATGAAGTTGGTCTATATGACTGTGGTTTCTCTGGGGCGTCTTTCACTTGGTGTAATAACTGCCAAGGTATGTCTCGCATGTGGCAAAGGATTGATAGGGCTCTGGATAATGTTAATTGGGGGGATAGATTTGAGAAGACAGAAGTGGAGCATGCTAGTAGAATTCACTCTGATCATTGTCCTCTTATCTATAGATTCTCTGAAATTGCAGCCCCAAGGAAGATATCTTATTTTAAATTTCTGGATATGTGGACAGCACATCCGGGTTTTCTAAAGTTAGTGGAGAATAACTGAATGGACAGTTATTCCAAGAACCCAATTGAGAACGTGTTTTTGAAACTAAAGTATTTGAAATTCCATTTAAAAAGGAGGAATAAAGAATTTTTTGGTAATGTGTTTGATAATATCAAAGTGAAAGAAAGGCAGTTGCAGCGAGCTGAACGAAGAGTGGAGGAGGATGATTCTGAGCTCAATGAGCAAGCTTTGAACAATGCTAAAATGGAACTAGATAAGGTTCTCAGACTGGAGGAAATGTATTGGAGGTAGAAAGTGAGCATACAATGGGCCCTTGAAGGGGAAAGAAACACCAGACTTTACCATGCCATTGCTAGAGGCAAGGTCGCCAGGAACAGGATTTCAAGAATTAAGAATGCAGAGGGTCACTGGTTAGAGGAGGAAGAGGCTATTGCTAATTGTATAGTGGATTTCTTTTCTGCACTATATAGCTCTGAAGCCTACTCTATTGATTATGGCTTGTTTAACAGTATTCCCAGGCTGGTTTCTCTTGAAGAAAATATGATGCTTACCTCCCCAACCACTTTATAGGAACTCAAATCTATTATATTTGGCCTGTCTACGCACAGTGCACATGGAGCTGATGGAGTCTCAAGTAAGTTCTTCCAAACTACCTGGGAAATTATGAAAAATGACCTTTTGGTTGCAATCAATTTTTTCCTTTAGGGTGGGGTGATTCCTAGATCAGTTAACACCACTATTTTGTCTTTGATCCCCAAGAAAGGCATTCCATCCACATTTGCCGATTTTAGACCCATTAGCCTTTGTACTTTTTTATACAAAATTTTCACAAAATTGCTAGCAAATACACTGGGGTTGTTGCTGCCTAAGCTAATTTCAGCTGAACAACATGGGTTTGTCAAAGGAAGAACTGTGGGGGATAGCATTGCTCTTACCCAGTTTATGATGAATGATCATGACCGTAAGGTGGAAGCTCGAAATGTTATTGTTAAACTTGATATGATGAAAGCATTTGATAGATTGGAGTGGGATTTTTTGAAACTTACATTGAATAGCTTTGGTTTTTTTGAAGACTTCATAGCTATTGTTTCTAACTCCCTAAGTCATCAGAATATCTCTTTATCTATTAATGGTGCTAGACATGGTTTCTGTCCCAGCACGAGAGGTTTAAGACAAGTGATCCTTTATCACCCTCTCTTTTCATCTTAGTTGAAGAGGTGTTGAGTAGAGGATTGAGATTTCAATTTGAGCAAGGTTTAATCCAAAGTTATCACACAGGAAGAGGTTTAAGGGTTCTAAGCCACCTATTGTTTGCAGATTACACTCTCATCTTCCTGAGAGAGCATAAGAGGTCTATGATCAACCTGTTGAAATTTGTGGGCAGGTATGAGCAGTCATCTGGTCAAAGAGTTAATAAAATGGAAAGTTCCCTATATTGTTCTTCTAAAATCTCAGTTGCTAGGAAGCATAGCTTATCACATGTGGCCAATATACCTCTTAAGCAAAGTCCTTACATACCTAGGATGCCCAATTTTAAGGGGAGGGTTAAGTTACTCTATTTTGAGAAGATATTGCAGAAATTTCAGTCAAGGTTGGAGGGTTGGTATGCTAAGCTCCTCTCGAATATGGGTAGAATAGTCCTTATTAAATCTGTGCTATGTTCGCTACCCATTCATCTACTTGCTTCCTTGAACCTTCCTAAAGGGATCATAGCAAAGATGAACTCCGATGTGTCTTCTTTTATGTGGTCTAATATGGAAAATGTAAAGAAAAGGCATTTGATTTCTTGGGATAAAGTTACGCTGCCACTAAGTGAGGGTGGTTTGGGAATTCAAAAATTTGAGGAAGTGCATAATTCATTTAGAATGAAGCAGGTGTGGAACCTCTTGCAGAATAGCTCCTGTGGTCCTACAAAGTATCTAAAGGGTAATCATTTATTGCGTTTCAATAACCAGGTGCAACCCAGGTGCCTTAATGTGTTATCCCCGTGGTTTGAAGTCATCATTAGCAATTCAAAGATGTTAGTTGGTTCAGGCTCTAGTGTGAATTTTTGGTGTGATAATTGGACAAGTGGAGTCCCTCTTCTTCTTAGGAATTCCACTATGCCAGTTCATTTTCCTAAGTTGTCGGAGTTGCTTATTCAAGGTCAGTGGAAGCTACAAAGTGTAATTCACCAGTTATATCAAAATCTTCTCTAGGAGGTTCACTCCTTTGGGGTCACCCTATCTGAACAACAAGACAAGCTAATTTGGCAGCCCACTTCACTGGGGAACTTCTCTATCAAAACAGCATGGGAATTGTCTAGGAGGAATAATATGCAAGATGATCAGGCCATTAACATATGAAAGTTGTGCTCTCCTCCTACTGCACAGTTAATGGGATGGAAGCGTATGAAGAATGCACTCCCTCTAGACTCAAAATTCAAAAGTTTGGGAATTTCTATGGCAAGTAGATGCCCTTTATGTTGTTGCAAGGAGGAATCTGCTTCTCATTTATTTATCTCTTGCACTTTCAGCTCTCAACTTTGGTGCAAAATTTCTAGTTTGTTTGGTCTTCAGGTGTTTCCTTCGGAGTCTCCAATATCCTGGTTTCTCAGATTGTGCAAGATTTATTCTAAATAGTCCAAGAGTCATACTTTAAGGAGTTTACCCCAGCTGGTTTATTGGTAGTTATGGAAATAACGTTGCTATAGGGTCTTTGAGAATCAGAAGCAGTCTCCTGACTCTCTATTTTTTCTTACTATTCATCTGCTTAGGTTGCAAGCAGTTATATTTAAGCCCAAAGTCATGGATTCAGTTAGTGGACACTCTATGCTCTAATCTCTTAATGTTAGGTTATGCACAAAGGTTTTCAAGAGTGTTAAATGGATTTGTTGGAACATTCCTCCTCAGGGTACTCTCAAGTTAAATACAGATGGCACCTCAAAGGGCAACCCAGGTCAATCTGGTGGTGGTGTGGTCCTACGTAATGAGTGGGGTCAAATGGTTCTAGCTGGGTCATATTTCTATGGAATTTGTTCAAATATGGAAGCATAAATTCTTGCCCTTCTGGATGGTTTGCTTCTTGTGAAAGATTATGGTTTGGAGGCTTATCCCTTGATTATTGAGACAGATTCTCAAGTCCTTGTGGACCTGATTAAGCAGGAGTCTATGTTAGCTTGGAAGTTTTGGGCCCTCTCTAGAAAGATTGAATATCAAATACAACATTCCTATAGAGAAGGTAATGCAGTTGCAGACTCTTTGGCCAAACAAGGAGTCTGTGACCAAGTCTCTCACAGTCATACTTCCCCTCATACTCTAAATCTACATACGAGACAACTCCTACTGCAGGATCAGCGACAAATTAAATCTCCACGCTCTAAGGTCAAAGTACTCTAATAGATGATCTAGTTTTGGACCTTATGATGCAACATGCATATATGAGGAAGAAGTCTTTTTTACAGGGATACGTTAAGGCAGATCATAGTTATTTCCTAGTATACACATGATATAAGTCCATACATTCGAATGCTAAAACAAACACAACAGTCCATTCACAGTTCAAGCAAAAAACACAGTTTGTTTATACAGTCCGAATTACTGATTTATCCCTATACATGGGGGATAATTTTTCCAAAAGTAAGGAAATTCTACTAGGAAAGAATACAACAGGTACCTGTTTGTCTTCTTTTTTTCTTCAGGATCAATGTCTGAGTCTAAGGTATTCTTGGGGTTGCTCTTCATTTGGGTTTTGATCTTGTTTCATACTTCTCTGCTTTGACTGTTGGAATTCTACGAGGGTGGTCTTGATCTCTATAATTTCTGGATCCATTACAAGAGGCTTCTAATAGCTTGTGGTTGTGAAAAGGATATTCCAAGAAGATTTGTGGTTGGATGGGGCTTCTACTATTCTGTGGTTGTGAGAATATGCTTTCTATTTTTGGTCTGCAAATCTTGGAAGCCTTCGTCTTGCATTGGTCATTCTTCTCCTACTGGTCTCTCTTTTGTTTCTCTGCTGCACTGGTTTTCTTGGGCTGGATATTCATCCTTTACAATGTTTTACGAAGGAGGAGTTTAGATTTGCTCTCTTGGGAATCCCCTGACTTAGAAGCCTCTCTCCAGAGAGGTTTGCAGATCCTAGGAGGTTTTTTTAGCATTCAAAGAATCTAGATATGGTCTGTGTAGAATTATACGGATGTCTCTATTTTTATACCTTGGTCCTTTCATCTTCCTTATCAGAAAAAGGGGTTGATTTTATCAATAGGTGCATTGGCCTATCAAGCCTGCTTATTTTTTGGCTTTTCATTTCCCGAAGGCAACCCTTTCGCCTGCCTTATCTGATAACCTTTCATTTGCCGCCTAGCTCCATTTTTGCCCTTAGCTCAATTTAATTATTCACTCAGCTTCTCCTTCCCCAGCTCATAGATTTCCTCAGCTCGGAGTCAAGAGTAATGGTCAGACCAAATTATAATAAATATTTCTGGAAAGAAAAATTTATTAATGATTTACCTAATCTTTTCACTCATAAGATTAGAGAAGCATTGAGTAAATCAACGGGGATAATTGAATATGACCAGTTAACATATAGTGATCTTATCAGTACCACTCAAAAAGAAGGTATGAGAATGTGTATTAATATGAAAATTAGCAAAAAAATGAAAGATGATAAGAAAAAGGCTAAATATGAAATGAGTGATTTCTGTGAATAATATAGTCTCCCTTTAGTAGCACCACCTCGCAGAAAACAAAAGTCATATAAGCCTTATAGCAAGAGCAAACAATATTACAAAAGAAGTAAGAAACATTTTCCAAAACAAGAATATTATGGAAAATCTAGCAAAAAACATAGAAAATCTAATAAGCACAAAACTTATAAGAAAAAGTCAGGAAAAAACAATAGCAAAGAAATTTAATGCTATAACTGTGGCAAGAAAGGACATATTAGCCCACAATGCCCAATTAAAAAGAAAATAAAACAGTTAAACTTAACTAAAGAAAATGAAGAAGAAATTCTCAATATCTTTAAGTTAAGTAACTACAGTCATAATGGAAGTACTTCGAATAACTCAAGCAGTCTTGAAAGTTCTTCAGACTACCAGTTAGCATCTAGCAATTCAAGTGAACCTAATATAAAATTAGGTTGTAAAGATAATTGTTGTAAAACAATTAGAGTTCTAACAAAGCAAACAGAGGAAGAATATATCCTCATTGACCTCATTAGCAAAATAGAAGATCTAGAATTAAAAGTCAAATATATTAAAAAACTTAAAGATTTGTTTCTAAAAAAAGGCATTAAACAATCTTTTGGTGAAAAATAGTTAATCAATTTTAATAAGACAATGGAAAATTTTAGTAAAGAAAAGAAGAGAGAGGTAACCTTACAAGACCTCCAATCTAAAGTAAATAAGCTAAAACAAGAAATAAAAGATTTAAAAGCACAAGACAAAAAATTAGAAGAAGCCTTAAATATTTTGCAAACACAAAATAATTTTAGTAAATCAGAGGACTATGATCTTGGAAATGAAGAAAGCAACCCAGGTAGCTCACATAGTCCAACCAGAACATATTCAAAGCGGATACCAATAACCTCCACCTCTCTAGTGGAGCCTTTGGGTGTAACGAAATTATCATCGATGGATGTTTACAAACTAATAATAATGATAACATGTTGAACTTAATTAACAAGTTAAATCTCAAAAAATGGCAATCAAATGTAAAGATCGTAATCGATAATGATTATGAATTTGAAGTTGTAGCTCTTATTGATACAAGTGCAGACCTAAACTGCATCTAAGAAGGGCTTATACCAACCAAATATTACCATAAGACAACTAAAAGGCTCAGTTTAGCTAATGGTAGTAAAATGAGAGTAAAATATAAGTTACCAAATGTACATATTTCTCAAGACAATGTATGTTTTAAAGCATCATATGTCTTAGTACAAAATATGTCAAATAAAGTTATCCTTGGTATACCTTTTATATATTTGTTGTATCCTTTTACAACAAATATAGAAAGAGTAACTACCAAGCCATTTGTTCACTCAGTAACATTTAAATTTTTAACAAAACCATAAGTTAAAAAACTAAGGCAACTTAAATATTATTCAATCTCTAAGTCTCTTAATTTACTCAATCAAAAAACTAATCAAGTAAAATTTCTTAAAGAAGAAATTACTCACAAACAATCTTAATCCAAAAGACTGAAAGGTTTAAAGAAAAATTAGAAGCACAAGTATGTTCTAACCTTCCTACAGCTATTTGGCATAGAAAGAAACATATGGTAAAACTTTCTTACATTAAAGGATTTAGTAAACAAAATATTCCAACTAAATCCAGACCTATCCAAATGAACCATGAAGTAATGAAAATTTGCAAGAAAGAAATTTCTGAATTACTCAAAAATAGTATCATTAGAAAAAACAAATCTCCTTGGTCATGCCCAGCTTTCTAAGCCATCAAGAATGCTGAATTAGAAAGAGGAGCTCCAAGGTTAGTAATTAATTTAAAGCCTTTAAATTCTGTATTAGAATGGATCAGGTATCCAATTCCAAACAAACAAGATTTAATCAAAAGACTTAGCAATTCAATAATATTTTTAAAATTTGATTTGAAAAGTGGCTTCTGGAATATACAAATATCCCCAGAAGACAGATATAAAACTGCATTCACAACTCCTTTTGGACATTACTAATGGAATGTAATGTCTTTTGAATTGAAAAATGCACTTAGTGAATTTCAAACTATAATGAATGAAAATTTTAACCCAGTTAGTCATTTCTATATAATCTATACAGATCACATCCTCATCTTTTTCAGATCTATAGAAGAACATTAGAAACACTGCAATGCATTTTTAGAGATTGTTAGATGCAATGGTCTAGTCATCTCTTCTAGCAAAATTAAGTTGTTTTAAACCTGAGTCAGATTCTTTGTATACAACATCCAACAATCAACTATCGTTCCCATCTACAAATCTATTCAATTCGCAGATAAGTTTCCTAATGAGATCACAGGTAAAACTCAGTTACAGATATTCTTAGGGTCTTTACACTATGTTTCAAACTTCTATCAGGATCTCAGAAAAATAGTCTAGCCATTGTATGATAGACTCAAAGGAGATCCTCCTCCTTGGTCTTCAGTTCATACATCCATAGTTCAGCAAGTCAAAAAGTATATCAAAACTTT